ATTTCTTTACAAATTCGTCTTTTTTCGTTTGATTTTGGCATTCTACGACATTGGTATAGTTTTTTTTTTGTAACATATGGTAATATTTTTGCTCATTTTGCAACTGTTTTGTACGATTTACAGTATGGTTGAAAACTTTTTTTTTTTTGGAAACGGCCGAAAATTCATGCGCGCGCGGATGTCATCCATATAATCAAATCAACATGGCCTAAGCAGTAAAACTTAAGACCGGGCATTGCTTTGGATCAGCATTTTTTCCATATGTTCCTACAAGTTTATTCTTTACAGTAGAAATACTGAATAGGATTTAATTAAAACAGTACAATGGTAGCATAATGCATCAGCTTCTGTATAATCAACCTTCATCATAACACACCAGCCTATGTATGTGTATCTGTATAGCCCTTTGGCGATAGAAGTAGACACTGTGCCATTTGAATATGCGTATGTTTATTACTTTTATGATTTCATATGTGGATGAAGGAATACAATGTCCTTCTTGTTGGCAGAGTCAAAGATGATGATGAAAGTTGGCAAGATTAGGACTGAGTTTTCTTGAAGTTTAGGATGAAAGCAAGCCTGAGAATGGTGATTCTTTCACAAAGGTAGACCCTACACCAATAGAACATGCATATTTTATTGCTTTTATTATTTTTAATACGTATAAAGAGGCAGAGAAAACATCAAAGTGTTTGTTATATATTATACAAATAAATCAAATTCTCTGATAATTCAATAACCAGGTTATCTATATTTTTAAAAATGTGGATAAATCCTGGTAATAATGCTTTAAAATACCAATTAGAATTCCTTATTAGGCCATGTTGATTTGATTATATGGATGACATCCCCGCGCGCATGAATTTTCGGCCGTTTCCAAAAAAAAAAAGAAGTTTCCGACCACACTGTAAATTGTACAAAACAGTTGCAAAATGAGCAAATATATACCGAAAGTTGCAAAAAAAATATTTGAAAACGATTCCAACGTCGTAGAATGCCAAAATCAAACAAAAAACTAAAATGCAAAGAAATGAATTTAAAGTCGATTATTCGCCATTATACCATACTCTGTGTCATTTGTTCGACCTTCATAACAACGTAGATTTCATGAAAGTAACTTTTTTTTTTTGCAAAACTTTTTTTTTATTCGCGCGCTCGCATCAGTTTTGGGGTTCCCAGAGGATGTCATCCATATAATCAAATCAACATGGCCTTATATGATATACAAAGGGAAAACAATGGAAAAAATCCAGGCTTCCTGTAAATTTTCCAGTCTAGACTTGTGGCATGTTACTACTGGGTAATATTTCACTGGATTACTGGGCTACTAAATCTACAATTTGGTTAGAAACCTACAGTGCTATGCACTATATCTATCTTGATTACTTCAGCATGAAAGTTCATCTGAGTTGGTAAATTATATTATGAAAAACTTAAACTTTTCTCCAACTCGAAATTTGACTCACCAGAAATTTTCGACTGAATCACTCAGTCTTCCTCAGCTATCTGACCCAAATGCTGTGGACACGTGATTTTTCCCACGTGTGACGTCAGCAAAGGGTCAAAGGTTGTCGATGTTGTCAGAATCTTGGATACCGAACAGGATTACTTCAAGAGAGGCGTAAAAGAGGCCATATACATCAGGGCACTTCAACCATCGCTCAACCGGGACGGGGGGCGGTATCGACTTCAGACAACCTTTGACCCTTTGCTGAAGTTTTTCATAATTATCTTGATTACTGTTACAACTGTAATGCTTGCAACAACAACATTGTTTTAGAATAACTGCCAGAAAGCTTGATGTTAGTACATTTAGGTGCAGTTGGAGCATCAATTTCAACAGTAACTGTTGAACATTTTAAACACAATTGTTGTACATGTAATGTTAGCATCTCCTCAGTTTTATCATAACCTAATATAGTATTATATTATAATAGCCTCTATACATAAATGGCAATACATGGCAGTTGCATCCATATCTAATGCAAATGAATTGCACATTCAAATATAGCATTGCAGTGGCTTAATTTAGAAATAATGCATCACTTCGTTTCACAACCATCTTGAGTATAGTACATTCTGTACATGTAGCTTTGAATATTCATGCAATCTGATCAAGGTGATGCAATTAATAAAACGTAAAATACTACTATCATTTATATAAGATACATGTTAGGCCACAGCAAGTAAATTTTATGGATGACATCGTCTGCAGAGGATGTCATTCATAAAATTTAATGCGAGCGGGCATGAAAAAAAAAAAAACAAGGCTGAAAAGACAAGGTTCCTACATTTTTAAATTTTGACTCAGTCATTGTGTCTTACTCTTAAAGTAAGAAACAAAACATTCAGAGCCTTTTCTTGTTTCCTCTCTTCATAGTTATCTGCCATCCACCTTCCGGCATGGCAACAGACATCTTTACCCATTTTTGGCATGTTGACCACTGTCAGAAGGCAACAAAATTTCTTGTTTTTTTTTTTCCAAAATCAGGCAAAAATAAATGTGCGCGCTGATGTCATCCATACAAATTACTTGCTCTGGCCTAAGATACACAATACATGGTTACATAATTTATATAGGAGTCAAAGTGATTAGTAATTTCCAGCTTAACATTCATTACAGCAACAAATACTCTTGATTAGCAAACAGCTGGCTGATAATAATAATAATGAAAATAATAGTAATAATTCTAACTTAATTGCAGATCGATGCCCAAGGCCTAAATTGCAATCAAAACAAAGGAATTGGGTATATTGTAACCGTTACACCAACAGGGAGAAAAAGGAGAAAGATTTAAAAAAAAAACAGAATATTATAATGTGTCCACAGATGAAATCTGTCCACAAAACATTGGAAGGGAATTCTTTAATGTGGCACTATCATACTGATGTTATCAAATTCCTATAAAAATTACCTGACCTCCAAAATCATACTATGAATAAAATAACTTCTCTTTCATTAGAAATTCTGTGCATCTATCCAAATCCTTGATAATGTGATAAATCTAAACTTAAAGATTAAGACATCAAACTCAGACCAAATACAGTACGATCCGTAGTGTACGCCCATATCTCTTTTTATAAAGGCACTATATTTCATTCTAACTTAAATATAATACTGTATGTATGATGTTGCCTGCTTGCATTCTGGTCTGAGTACTTTGTTACTGCTACTCTGGAGTAGTTTCCTAAAATACTGCTGAGTATATATAAGACTGTGAAATCCATTGTGAACACAAGAAAATATTTCTACAGACTTCTGTGTGGTATCTGTTTTTTTTAATGTACTGGAACAGTATTGTATGATCATGGGGAAATACCTGACTCAATACATTATCACAATCTATTATTCCTCATGTGGTTGTAAAAGATTTAAACTTACTTCCATACAACACCATGATTACACTGTATATATTCCAGGCGACCTCATATCGCATCCTACTATCCAGGTCATACCAAGCCAGAACCCTGTCAATCAAGTGAAACCCAATCTCTGCCCACTCACTTCCAACCCTTGCTGCTGAGGACAAAATACATGACACATACAAACTCCCACTAAATCAGTGCCGCCCAAAACAATACTTCTGTCCCTGGGCTGGAACTTAGGATATATAGAATACAACACGGGGTATTCCGTATTGCCCAAGGTACCAGCCCGACTGCGCGTCTGTTCGCCTGTCGGCCGGAGGGAGATCCCATCTGCGGGAGGGCCGGGACCGAGGGCTATGCGGAATACACTGTGTTGTATTTTATTTACGTCATACCCACCCAAGAAAATGCGTCTTTCAATGCAAAATGAGCCAAAATTTTGTGTCCCTATAAACCTCAAAACACAACAAATTCAGTTCCAACGTACAAATTCTGTGTTCGAATTTTCGAAAGCGGCGCATGCGGTTAGGGCGAAATGCGCTCGAATCGTTCTATGGAAGCCATGGAAGCCCGAGCCGTACGCGTAAAGAAGCCCGGGCCGTGACGTAAAGTACGGCCCGGTCCGGAACACCCGTATCGAACGTTATCGCGGTCAAGGTATGACATAAATTATGTTTATCACACTTGCATAAACAGTGCTGTTCAACAGTTGAAACTACCATGCTCTAGCCGCACTTTTCAAAACAAATGCTGGCCACTAGAAAGTCTACACAAGAGGTTTTCCTCCATGTCATTTCATTACAAGAAATACCACTTAAAGTAAAAAAAAATTCCATATTCTGGCTATATTGAATATTCGAGTTATAAAAAAAAAGACACTTTTAAGGTTTAAAGGCACCCAAATCAATTTTGGGGCAGCAAAACTGGATAGTTAAAGTTAATTTCCTGGTGAAGGTTTTTTAACCCTATCCTACTACCGGTATATTGATATCTGGGAGTCAGAAATGTGATGTTGTTGACTGAAAACAGTTGCTCGTTTAATTGTAGGCTCGTTCTATCTTTTTATTGGTGGTACCAAAAAATAAGGGACTCCTCATGTGGCTTGTTTTGAAATGTTTGAAAAGTATACGATGATGATAAAAATGTCCAAAATGGCAATAAATGTCAATATCAGACAAATTTCCTCATCTAGAATTATATTTTTTTTGTATTGCCACCCTTAGGCCACACCAATTTAATTCGTTGGTTCTCGGATTTGCCTCTTCATTTTTTTCTGATTTGCAAAAAAAAAAAAGATTCTGGTTCTGAATCAACTCAAAAATACTCATATTTGCCCCAAACAGTTGAGGAAAGACCTTTTTCTTCCTACTTGTTACTGTTTTTCCATCTATCAACGGAGTGGTTTGATTTATAATTTATATAACGATAGCTAGTTAATTTTGTATCTGTTAACCGTGTCCATTCATCTTGTTTTGTTGTGACCTGTACTTAGCCAAGTGTGGCAGAAATGTGCGATATAAAGGTCTTCATTCATTCATTAAAAGTTCAAAATTTATTGTTTAAATTTTAACCCAGCCTGGACTTCATGGCTCCTATTGAAGCATTTGGGGCTATAATAGGATACCTAGACCTGTTTTTATTTTATTTTTTTCGCCCTGTCACTTCATATTTCTTCTGAAAAAATCTGAGAACCAACAAATTGAATTGGTGTGGCCTTAAATTGCATCAAATCCCTTTAAGAAATTACATTTTCACAAAGTGTCCACGTCTTCTAGAGGCACTCCCAGCATTTTATACCTGGCCTGTTGTGGTGTGAGGATGATCTCTGTGTCGTTGAGGTGCCAGTTGTACTCAGAGTACAGGATGCTGACTCCCCCCTCCTGCTCCAGGGTGGATAGTAGACTCTCCACTCCATACTGTTTGTCCTCACTCAGGTATGGGAGAGTCCATCTATAAATAGGGGGAGGGAATAAAGTGTATTCAGGGTAGAGACTCTCGGACAACTTGAAACGCAACATTTGCAGGGCAAATGCATAATGTTTACCTTCACATATGGTCTGCTCAATTAATTTTCACTCATTGACAAACACATTAATTTTGATAATCATGTATAAGGTGACAGGAGTCTAAATCCCTCCTGCTATAAAATTGCAACATGATGTAACCCAACACTAGTTACCATGGTGACAGACGTCTGGATGTAACCCAACACTAGTTACCATGGTGACAGACGTCTGGTTCAGGTCATTGACCTTTCTGTCTGGATAAGAAGAAGAGGAAGAAACTGAGCAAAAACAATATATATTTTCCTTCAGTAAACATAATAACTGACCTGACAGCCTCTATGTCATCTTTCCCAAAGTCACTTCTGTACCACTGGAAGATCTTGGAGAGAGAAATCTGTGATCAAGAATAAGATACAAGTACACGTCATGCTTAAGTGTATACAAAGCTGTGTGTGAACAAAGATTATTTTACCCGGAGGTACCTTTGAAGCCTAGTTACTTGGTGAACATTGAGCAGTAAAAAAGAATCAGAAGATGACTATTGCTTGTTATTAGGCTTCCTTTTACAACCTGGATATTCCAATTCTCATTAGGCCACACCGACTTAATTCAATGGATGACATCCACACACGCATTGATTTTTGCCTTTTTTGCCTGTTCTAAACAAAAATCACCTCCGAAGAAGCTCTGGCCTGGGTGTCATCCTCCGTAGTCCATGGTAACCAGCGACACTAGGGAGCCAGTGGTAACTACAGAAGACGGCACCCAGGCTACCAAAGCTCCATGGAACTCAAGAAATTAGTACAGTGCTGACTCATAAATACCACAAAAGGCCCACATGTGCTGGCTTGTAAAAGTCATTATGTTACTACTGCAATTCACAATATACAACCTTAAGTATTCCTGTGGTTTAGCTGCATTTTTTTTTTTTTTTGGCTGGACTTTTTTTTAATTTGCCCGCGTGCACTAGTTTGGGTGTCTTCAGAAGATGTCATCCATACGATTACTAGTCTGTGTGGCCTTACATTGAGTCTGATTGAGAAGTGACTTTGTTGAAGGTCATGTTAATCAGTTTGCCTGACACTGATGTAGCACATAAAAGAGACTGATTTGCTTTATATAAGGGCTGCCAAGGACCCATTACTGTAACAGGCCACTCGTTTGAACTTGAATGAATTATGCAGGGATTTTCCTCAGGAGTTATGCTTGTGTGATGATTGCTCCCAGTCTGAGATTGTCTGAGACAAACTTGCAGGCCTAGACTGATCCCCAAGGCAGGGGAAGAGCCTTGCTGTCGCCCAATTAGTTCTAAATTGGTACCAGTAGTACTTTGTATCTTCCAGCCAGGACACAAAGTGTCAGTGTGTATGATTTATGTGGCTAGAATAAGCCATATGGGTTTGGAGTTTGATATACCATGGCGCTCTCTTGTCTGCAATACATGTATATACTTAGATATGTCAATAATTACCTTTGTCAAGAAGGTTATGTGTTAGGTACACCATATCTAGGAGTTGGCGAATTTTAAAACATTATCATAACTTAGGGTGTGGTGCATATGTTTATCATATTTTGTAGGTAGGTTAGTGTTGGGATGACAAAGGTCAAGGTCAGTTAATTTATAGGTAATTTAGTGGCTTTGTATGGTACTGTAGTGGGGTACAACAGTATATCTCATGTTGTGGACATGCTATGATCTTGATTTTTGAGCCTTCAATGCTTCAAACTGTAGTGTACACATGCTGATCATAATTTGTCAGTTAAAGTACTTATTCCATGGTATAAGTCTATAGAAGAAAGTGATTCAAAAAGATTAAACTTTAAGGTAGTCCCATGGCCTTTTTTAGGCCATAGGGGCAGTGGGTTGTTAATCCACTGTGTATTGGAAGGCAGAGCCCATCCCTCTCCTTATACCACCTTTTACCTTCCTAACCAAAGTCTGGTACCCATTTTACACTTGGAATGAGGACAGTTGTGACAAGTGCCTTTACAATACATACATACATTAGCAGCCTATATATCAGCTGGGCTCTATGCCATCACATACAACTCTCCAGTTCTCTCTACCTAACATTACATTTCCTAAGTATTCGAGTTCCATGCCAGTGTCTCTTAAGTTAAAAAAAAAAAAGTATCGGTAAAAGTCAGACTTCTACAGTGTACTCGACCTCTTGGCTTCCACAGAAGGACAGAAGAAATTATTTCCTGCTTAGCTCAATGATAATAGAGTACCATAGAGTAAAATTGGCTCTACGGAGGGTACGGAGACTTTCGGGGACAACTTCTATGCAAGAATGCCAGGGATTAAACCCACCACCTCTCAGTCTTGTGTCAACCAGCCTAGCCTTTTGGCTGTTTGATGCCACTTTTAGGCAAAGAAAGTGATGGAAAACACATTAAAATATGGATAATGTAAATGTTGGTCAGGAACCCACCTCTTTTCTCTTCATGTCGACTACCACCTCCTGTTCACAGAAGCCCTTAGCTGCTGCTGTCAGGGCACGGTCAACGTTCTCACCACTGTACACACTGATGGCTGGACAGGACTGAAACAAGCACACAATTCATCACATTAACAACCATCAGGCACGGTCCACGTTCTCACCACTGTACACACTGATGGCAGGACAGGACTGAAACAAGCACACAATTCATCACATCAACAACCATCAGGCACGGTCCACGTTCTCACCACTGTACACACTGATGGCAGGACAGGACTGAAACAAGCACACAATTTGACATCACATTAAAGGCATCCAACGCAATTTCAGGGCAGCAAAACTGGATTTTAAAAGTCAATTTTCTAGTCATTCTTTTTAATAAAACACCACAAATATGCACTGTAAACTGGATGGGGCTACATAATCATTTCAAATGCAAACTTTAAACACCACCAAAAAATTGAGTTCCTTTTCCCTCCAAGCATTTTCGGCAGAAAATACACTAGAAACACTGCCTTTCAAGCATCATTTAGAGTTTTGTATGTGTCGGATGTATACATGCCAGGTTTTTCTGTGCAAAATTATGTAAATTCCATATAGGTATGAAATATAAAAATATAATCCAGATATTCACATACTTTGGCACCACAAACAAGTGAGAAATGTATCCTGGGATCAAGAGTTTCCAAGCTAAATCTCAGTCTCGGGTCATCCTTCTTGAAAGGGCAGTCTCTGGAAGATGGGTGTGGTCTGTTGCCTGGTAACGAGTAAAAAAACTTTCAGTGACTGGTGACAGGTAGACATCAGAAATACCTGCACAGCTCCAATTTTGCCTGCACTAACCTGCATATACCAAGTACATGGACCAGTGCAGGTAGGCATCAGAAATACCTGCACAGCTCCAATTTTACCTGCACTAACCTGCATATACCAAGTACATGGACCAGTGCAGGTAGACATCAGAAATACCTGCACAGCTCCAATTTTACCTGCACTAACCTGCATATACCCAGTACATGGACCAGTGCAGGTTAGGTGCAGGTAGACATCAGAAATACCTGCACAGCTCCAATTTTGCCTGCACTAACCTGCATATACCCAGTACATGGACCAGTGCAGGTTAGGTGCAGGTAGACATCAGAAATACCTGCACAGCTCCAATTTTACCTGCACTAACCTGCATATACCCAGTACATGGACCAGTGCAGGTTAGGTGCAGGTAGACATCAGAAATACCTGCACAGCTCCTATTTTACCTGCACTGACCTGCATATACCCAGTACATGGACCAGTGCAGGTTAGGTGCAGGTAGACATCAGAAATACCTGCACAGCTCCAATTTTACCTGAACTAACCTGTATAGACTGGTGATATTTCAAGCCCTGAAAGAGATCACGATAACAGTGCTGACAGATAACCTGACAAGCCGTGCCTAATTGCCACTTTCCGAGCTATTTTCTGCTTGACCACTAATAGCATGACCTGAGCTACAGGTGCAGGGGTTCCCAGGGCTAATTATCAGTCTCAATCCAAGACCATAAATCTTGTGAAGCCCCCATATTTTGACAGTATTGTGTCACTATGGTTAAATACCACAGACATAAATTATGCAAATGAGGACCTTATTTGCATAACTCTTTGTTAAAGACTATCATGTGATTTGTGTTATTTGGGGGGAGAAGATGACCAACTGATTATGGTTTATACAAATGAGGGCCTTCATTGAATCAAGTTGAATCAACTGAATGAACTATAGACCATGAACTTTTATTACTCGTTCTAGTAGCTGTAATTCCACACCGTGTTTTTATTCACTTTCCACACTGCTACATTGTACTGAAGATGTAATATGCAACTTAATGCTCCTGTCGATTTTAAACTAATATTTGCTTTTAAATTTAACTATATTTTTAAATCTTATGAATGTATATAGTTTGTCGCAACATGATGTTAGGCCTCACAATTCAGCCATCATAGCTGCCAGGAGGCTTGTGTGTACCTTTTCTTGTTCTTGTAATAATAATAAACCATTCTGCTACTACTCATCCTTAAATACGCGACTGCAAACTTAACCAAGCCGTTCTTCTGAAGTACTATGCAGAGTAGATTATGGGCTTTGCACTGCAGGCACAGTACGCTCCACTGACGTGTTTCCAGAGGTGTGCTTTCATGGTTATCTGGTCCTTTTATCTTATCTAAGTTTCGTAAACTACATGATTGTACAATGTAGAATGTAAGACCATTTCTATAAGCTAGACATTGGCCAGGAGTACTATAAGATAAACCCACTGGCAGGTAAACTCTCATGAAAACTTATCATCTGAGGATCTAAATGACCTCCAAACCCTACGTGACCTTGAAAAACAGCCTGTTTTGAGTCATTAGAGTTTGTTTAATGGGCAAACGTATTACTCAAACATTTTCAAGGCCTTTGCTTGTACAACATTAATTATGCCCAGTGGGGTTCACAAAGGTAATCTGAAGTTTATACAAGATGTGCTGTGTACTGAAAATGTCTGTCCATTGTACAGAAAATATCTGTCCATAGTATTAGTACTGCAAATGTCTGTCCATAGTACTGAAAATGTCTGTCCATACTACTGAAAAGGCCTGTCCATAGTACTGAAAGTGCCTGTCCATGGTACTGAAAATGCCTGTCCATAGTACTGAAAGTGCCTGTCCATGGTACTGAAAATGACTGTCCATAGTACTGAAAATGCCTGTCCATGGTACCAAAATACCTGTCCGTAGTACTGAAATGTCTGTCCATGGTACTGAAAATGTCTGTCCATAGTACTGAAAATTTCTGTCCATGGTACTGAAAATGTCTGTCCATGGTACTGAAAGTCTGTCCATGGTACTGGAAAAGTCTGTCCATGGTACTGAAAATGTCTGTCCATGGTACAGAAAATGTCTGTCCATGATACAGAAAATGTCCATGGTACTGAAAATGTCTGTCTATAGTACTAAAATTGCCTGTCCAAAGTGCTAGAAATTGTCAGCACTGGAAAAAGATTAAAACATAGTGTGGGCATGGAAATCAGCACCATCTTTGATTTGAGATCGTTTCAAAAGTCTTTGCATGAGTTGAGATGTTACAGTGATAGGTGATACCTGACCTCACACTTTTCTGCACTTTAGCACCCTTCACTGCTATCAGGATATAGCCTATGGGGCACACTTATGTAAAACTCGACACCTCTGACACTTCAAATTTGTAGTAGTATGGAGTCGAGGGCACTACAGTATGGCCTACTATTATTAAAGGAAGTTCTCACTGATGGAAATCCATATAATGAGCATGTTAAAGAACTCACCAACAGGATTAGGGTTTCATCCTAATGTGAATACATACTAGATGAATTGGCTGAGGCCAAAAAGGTCCCGTTCCACTCTATTGCAGAGCATAGGGGTGGTGCCCATAGCCATTTCCGTAGCCCTTGGGCGACACACAGTTCTGCAATGCACTACAGCAGGAGGCTGGTCCGCTGGTAGTGCTGTGTGTTTGACCTTCTCACACTCTTTCACACACGATTTTTAAAGTCTTTGGTACGACCCGGCCGGGGTTTGAACTCACGACCTCCCGGTTAAAAAGCGAGCACTCTACCAATTGAGCTATTTCACCGGTTACTCAATACAAACAAGAAATTAGAGATTTCACACTTCTGCTGTATGTTGGGTTTTCCTGACTTTCAAGCTCACCCTGTTTCCTGTGTCTGACCTATTGTTTCCTGTGTCAACCTATATACATACTATGTCCGGACAAGCAGACACACAAACCCACAGCTCTGCCACAGAAAACAATCCATACCCAGAAATAACTACTAACTGTAACAACAAACAAACATATACGAGTTTCCCATCCCCAGAATGCAATGCAAATCCTGGGGTCTAAACCTCATTTGCATAGGACAGGAAGGCATCGGAACGATCCTGTTGACGTTAAACAGCATGTTTTTCACTGTGTTTTGAGGTGTTGGGCATTATATGCTCAAAGTTAATTAAATTACTATGGGTTAAATCTGACAACAAATAGAGAATTAATTTTTTGGAATATGTGGTTTGTAACGTTATAGTGGTAACGCTATATTGATGCTGTAACGTTACAAACCACATGTTCCATGTTGAAAAGAATACAAAAACTTCATTCTCTATTTGTTGTCAGATTCGACCCATAGTAATTTAATTAATGTTGAGCATAAAATGCCCCCACACCTCAAAACACAGTGAAAAACAAGCTGTTTAACGTCAACAGGATCATTCCGATGCCTTCCTGTCCTATGGAAATGAGGTTCAGACCCCAGGATTTGCAATGCATCCTGGGGATAGGAAACTTGTAAATTGTTTGAAACAGATGGCTGGAAGACGCAAAGCACTTACCTCTAAGAATTCCATGTTCGATGTCGTCCAGTGAGAAGTTGACCCCCCCGATGTTGTAAGCTGTGGTTTTCCAGAACTGTCGTACGTCCAGTACAGAGGACGGCAGCTGTTTACACTGCACCAGGCCATGGATGTTCAGAGCATTGTAGATATCTGGGTAGTTCAGGATTCATACACAGCCTATGATCATGGATTTAATTGTTTATTCTCAGGGCTCAAAATACTGGGTGCATCTGCACATCTGAGTGTAAGAAAAACAATAAAATCTTTGTAGTACAGACTACTTGTTTAAGGTTTTGAGGTTAGAATTTGGGTTCATCAGAATTTTGAAAGCTACAAAACCGTACTATGATTGATATTAATAATGCATTCTATTTTCTTTATTTTATATGGTGCACACAGAACATTCTCTGTGCAACCAACTTATTGGGTAAGGTGCACCAGAGCACCTATTTCAAAAAAAAAGGATTTCAAGCCCTGATTGTATTTATCACATGAAGAGAATTTGACAAGTTTTGAGAGTTTAATTGGTAATGGACCAAGACAGTCCACTACCCATAGGCCCAGCAACTATTTGGAATACAAAAAAATTGAAATCAATCTAGCTTCTGATTCTCTCTTAAAATAGAATTCTATCAACTTGAGGCCCTCAAGCAAGAAGGAAAAGTTGGGAATCAATTAATAATATTACAGGCAGTCCAGTAGTAACTATTGAAAAATTCTTGATGAACTATGAACACTACAAAATACAGCATACTAAAAAAAATCACAGTCTCACAAATTGTAAGTCTCCTGAGTGCTGTGCAGGTATTTCTGATGTAACCTACACCTAGCCTGTACTGGTCTATGTCCTGGGTTTATAAAATTATAATAACATCATGTTGATGTTGATGTAGTTGTGAATTTATACTTTGCTGCATAGGCTGTCACTACCAATGAAGTATAAAAGAAATATAATATTTGTAATAGTTTTTGAACAGTGATCCATACTTTCTAAATTCTGAGTGGTGCAGGTAAAACTTGTCTGGTGCAGGTAATTTTCAATGTTGCCTGTACCTCAGTACATCATGTATGTAAGGCCACACCGAGTTAATGTTATGGATGACATCCACGCGCGCATTGATTTTTGCCTGTTCTCCAAAAAAAAAAAAGATCACATCCTCCGAGGCTCTGGCCTGGCTCCAGGCCTCCGTAGTCCATGGTAGTTAGCGACACTAGTAACTATGGAGGATGGCACACAGGCTGCCGAAGCTCCACCACTCAAGAACTTATTATTAGTACATACAGTGCAGATTCATAAATTCCGCAAAAAGCCAGCATGTGCTGGCTTGTCGCATACTTCGCTATGTACTGCCGCAAATTCACAATACTAGCTTAAATATTCCTGTGGTTTAGTAGCATTTTTATTTTTAGCCAGAATTTTTTTTTTTCATTCGCCCGCTTCAGAGGATGTCACCCATAAAATTAAGTCGGTGTAGCCTATGCAGAAAAAAACGATTTCGAGCCCTGAAAGCAAATGACAAATACACGCAGCTGTTGTACACGGCAGTCAGCATTTTGAAAGCAACAATTATTGACTGAGGGATTTGTTATACAGGTACATAAGGCCATACCAATTTAATTTGTTGGTTCTCGGATTCGCCTCTTCGTTTTTTTCTGATTTGCAAAAAAAAAAAATTTTGATTCTGGTCCTGAATCAACTGAAAAATGCTCATGTTTTGCCCCCAACAGTTGAGGAAAGTCCTTTTCTTCCTAGTTGTTACAGTTTTCCCATCTATCATTGCAGTGGTTTGATTAAAAGTTCAAAATTCAATGTTTAAATTTTAACCCAGCGTTTTGTGTTGACTTCATGGCTCATTTTGTAGCATTTAAGCCTATAATAGGATGCCTAGACCTGTTTTTATTTTTATTTTTTTTCGCCCTGTCGCTTCATATTTTTTCTGAAAAAATCCGAGAACCAACAAATTAAATTGGTGTGGCCTAAGCTCTTGATAGACAACCCTCCCTGTGAGGCCAATTTGTATCACGCTCAAGATTACTCAGTTACATGCACGACAGCAGATGGGTGAAAAGTCAAGGTTGCCTGCCTATTAGGGGTACAAGAGGGCACAGGGTCAACTGATAAATCTTGTTTGACTGGAAGTAGCATCCAAGAACTGAGTAAAAAAATGAATAGTTATAATCTGATTCTAAGGCCACACCAATTTAATTTGTTGGTTAATGGATTTTTCTAGAAAAATAATGGAGCGGGTAAAAAAATAATAAAAATAAGAACAGGCCTAGGCATCCTATTATGGCCAAAAATGGTACGATAGGAGCTGTAAAGTCAACACACCAGGCTGGTTCAAAATTTTAACAATGAATTTTGAACTTTTAATGATACCTATGCATTTAAAGATGGAATAACAAAATTACTGTAACAACTAGGAAGAAAAGGACTGTTTTCAACTGTTCAGGGCAAAATATGAGCATTTTGCAGTTGATTCAAATTTTTTTTTTTTTTTTGCAAATCAGAAAAAAATGAAGCAGGCAAATCCGTTAACCAAGAAATTGAATTCGGTGTGGCCTAATGTTTACTCATAATGAAGTATAAAAGTATTACGTCCTATAGACATTTCTACTTAGATTTCATATCAGGTAACCTGGTAAAAAAAAGGTAAAAAAATGACCCTGAATCAAACTAGATTAGCCTAGATTCATATCCTTGTTCATTGAAGATAACTATATTATTCGGATACACTGTGAAGTAATGAATGGAATTTGTAGCAAACACAGAGACAGTCACCTGAGTGTGCTTGTGTCTTGATCTCCAAAATATGATACACAGTGTACTCTATCTTATTTTTACTGTAATACTATAATCTGGTTTAGGTCTGGACCAGGACCTGATCCTCTTGACTTCGAGGCATCCAATGCAGTTTTTAGGGCTTGGAAACCCGATTTTTCAAAGCCAATATTCTAGTCAATTACCTACATACCGAGTTGTACCACACTATCCCTATATTGTATATTGACTCTCATGGAGCAAAAAGTCCCAAAATTGTGACGGAAAATGGTTACTGGAAGGGCCCTGGGCTGATTTTTAAGGTACCACCCAGAAAATAAAGGACTCATATTGGGGCTTGTTTCTGCTGTTTTAAATGAAGCAGTATGTGTCAATATCACAAAGTTTGCATTATTCAGAATATTTCCAATTTTGCTGCCCTGAAATCACATTGGATGCCTTTTTAAAAATCTGAACTAAGTCTTGGATCTGATCAAGCTGAACCAGTACCCACCCTTACTGCCTAGGGTCAAACTGTTAAACAACATAAGGCAAAATTTATTCAAGCTGGCATCCCAACACCAAGCTCTCAGAGATATCATATCTGTATACTGCAAAATGTAATAACTTTCCGGTACTTTATTTTCGAGGTAGGAGGGAAAAGGAGGTTTTTCACAGTGTAATAAAATTCTTAGTCTTTGCAAGCAAAACAATTCTGTGGTAAATTTAGTCATATTTACAGTGTCATCAGACTTTATGTCAGTGAGGTCACACTGAGAGAACCACAGAAATACTGCTGAAGTTCAATTGCCACAAACTGTTAAAACAAGAAATCTGAGGTTCCAAACCTGCTGGAAGTACATCATGTATATCATCCATTATGTTCACAACTGCTGGCAGTTTCAGACATTACATTAACAGCAAATGTCACAAAACAGGCTTAACCCCCTGAAAGTAGTGTGGTATAGCCCATTAGCCTCACACGGATTAACACCTACAGTGGAGAACAGATGTTGATAGACAATAATTCATCACATACATGTACGTGTACATTATATAGCATGGGCATGTCAAGTTTTTATCTAAATAGTATTACCTAAAAATACAGATACAAACAACAATGCATCATCTGGACCTCAGTAACTTCATGTACTGAAAATCAATTTGAAAGAAATCCATCCAACCCACCATAAATTATAGCTGTGAAGACACAAAATAAAAGGTCTCCTGTGCTCTATGCAGAGCATAGGGTTTTGGTGTCCATGTCCATTTCTGTAGCCCTTGGGCGACACATGTTGTGCAAGGCACTACAGCAGGGGGCTAGTCTGCTGGTAGTGCTGTGTGTTTGACCTTCCCACACTCTTTCTCGTGCTAAGTGCTAAGCAGAAAAAGAAGTGTGTACCATCTTTTAAGTCTTTGGTATGACCTGGCCGGGGTTTGAACTCACAACCTCCCAGTTACAAAGCGAGCACTCTTGAGCTATTGCACCGGTTTTACACAAAATAAACACAACCGAAAACACCCATGGAAGGGGGTAACCAGGAGGACGTTGACTTCAAAATGTGCAAAGTATACTACTATTACTTTGCACATCAGAGTTTTTTGAGGACATCATATAAAGCGGCTCTCTGACTAGACAAAATGCTCCTAACATGATGGACTGTAGCTACTCTGATCCACGTAAAAGGCAGTGACTGTGCAAGCCTGCTACATCAAGGGTTCCTAGGTTTTCCAAATTGCCTGGAGACAGTAACATACCAGAGGTAGGTGATACAGTTCCATTAGTCAGGCTTCAGACAGCATGTAATGGCTAGAAGGGAGACATTTTAAACCCAAGACTAAGTGTGATGTGGCTACCATGTAAGGGCTTGAAAGACTGTTTTTCCATTAACTGCAATATTGCAAGTTGTCAGAAACTTTATCTGCCACTGGGAAAAACTTTCTAAAACTCACAAAGTCAGAAGGTTGAAGGCTATACAAGTACATGTTATTTAAGTTCATTACAGATCCTGTCCATGGTCCTGAAAATGTCTGTCCATGGTACTAATAATATCTGTCCATGGTACTAAAAATGTCTGTCCATGGTACTGAAAATGTCTATCCATAGTACTGTAAATGCCTGTCTATAGTAGTACTGAAAATACCGGTCTATGGTACTGAAAATGCCTGTCCATGGTAATGAAAATGTCTGTCCATGGTACTGAAAATGTCTTTGGCGCTACTGCAAATGTCTGTCCATGGTGCTCAAAATACCTGTCTATGGTACTGAAAATGTCTGTCTATGGTACTGAAAAAGCTTGTCTATGGTACTAAAAATGCCTGTCCATGGTACTGAAAATGCCTGTCCATGGTACTGAAAATGACTGTCCATGACAATGAAAATATCTGTCCATGGTCCTGAAAATGTCTGTCCATAGTACTGAAAATGTCTGTCCATGGTACTAAAAATGTCTGTCCATGGTACTGAAAATGCCTGTGGTGCTGTCTATGGCACTGAAAATGTCTATGGTGCTACTGAAAACATCTGTCCATGGTACTGAAAATGTCTGTCCATGGTACTGAAAATGCCTGTCCATGGTACTGAAAATGTCTGTCCATGGTACTGAAAATGTCTGCCCATGGTACTGAAAATGCCTGTCCGTGGTACTGAAAATGTCTGTCCATGGTACTGAAAATGTCTGTCCATAGTACTGAAAATGTCTTTCCATGCTACTGAAAATCAAATGTCTATCCATACTACTTACATGTAGAATACCAGTCCACGGTACTAAAACGCCTAATAGGCATTTCATAATATGTAACTGTCCTACATTAAACAATGCAAACTCTACCACAGGCCACTACTTAAAGTCTATAGTAAAGGATACTGATGAAGAAGGCTTTTTTCTCCCCAGCGTCCTGCAGAGTAGACAGGTCCACAGACCTCAGCTCCAGGGTTCTCCACAGGTAGTCCTTAAACAGCTCGCTGTCACGCAGGGCTTCATAGTCAACCCCACGCCCGCCTGCTACCATGTGTTCCCCTTTCATCCTGCAAGAAATGCCCGATTGAATTTCATCATAGAACTAGAAAGGTTACATTTGCCAAGCAAATGCATAATATTTACCTTTCCATATGGTCTGCTCTTTTAAATCTTACTCAAACACATTGAATTTCATATATATTATGGTCAGACAGGAGTCATAATCCCTCCTGCTGTAAAATTGCAACATGATGTAATCCATCACTAGTTACCATGGTAACAGACAGCTGGTTCAGGTTATTGACTTTTTTGGTTTGGAGAAGAGGAAGAAGAGGAAATGTAGTAAAAACAATGTTTTCCTTCAGTAAACATAATTAATATCATTACTCATACTATATTGTATAATGTAACTTGCTCTAGCATTTAGCATTCCACCATGGTTTATGTTTCATACCATGATTACACAGTAAACATTGCTGGCAACGTCATACCACATCCTATCACCCAAGTCACAACCCTGTCAATCAACTGAAACCCAATCTCCGTCCACTCACTTTCAATCCTTGCTAAGGAAGAAAAGATACATATAGATACTCCCCTTAAACCAGTGCTGCTCAAAACAATACAGTACTTCCTTACCAGAAGTAATTAAAAGGCATTTATAAGTCACAATAAATTTGGTCTTGACACATTTTTAACATGTAACCCACACTTTTTATTCCAAGTTTCTTGCATTGGTCCTGTGTTACCTGAAGCATAGGTCTGGAGTTTCTTTTACTTTCTTTCATTCCAAACTGCAAAACTACATACATCTATCTCCCTTATTCTATCTTGAAGAGTTTTTGCATTGTTCAGAATACCAAGAACTTTCCCATATAATACTACATTGTATATCCCTAACTTGGCCGATTCATTTCCTTTTGCTCTGCCAGGCAGTAACTTTTCATCAATCAGTATCTACATTTTCTCACTATCAATGTTGTCATCTCTCTTCTACTTTACAAGAGGAACTCCATCATATACCAGCTTAAGCCCACGCAGAATCTGTCATATTTCATCTGAAGGTGTTTGAATCATGTAATCAGTCTCCAGCCTGCCCCTGTCAGATGCACAGTGAGTGAGAACGATCATGAGACATGATGTCTGATGAGGCCAGGGAAAAGAAATGTTTTGTTTCCGACCTCAGTGCTGAAAAAAACAGGGTTGATAACAGTGTTCTAGCCAGTGTCTCTCTCACCGCCGTTTGACAAATTTTTACCGCTCATAAGGCCACACCAATTTAATTTCTTGGTTAATGGATTTTTCTAGAAAAATAATGGAGTGGGCGGGAGAAAAAATAAATAAAAACAGGCCTAGGCATCCTATTAGTATTATGGCCCAAAATTATACGATAGGAGCCATGAAGTCAACACACCAGGCTGGTTCAAAATTTAAACAATGAATTTTGAACTTTTAATGATACCATTGCATTGAAAGATGGAATGACTGTAACAACTAGGAAGAAAATGACTGTTTTCAACTGTTCAAGGCAAACTATGAGCATTTTGCAGTTGATTCTGATCTTTTTTTTTTTTT